TATTTGTAATTTTTCCTTCTCATTTATTTCATTAAACATAATTCCCTTAAGTTCTTTCCCTTTGGATTTAAATAGCCAAATTTGGAAATAAATAGCCAAATTTCATCTAACAAAACCAAACAAGCAATGTTCTGGGGTTATTTGCAGCTTTGTGTTTTATTCCTCAGTAGTGTTTGGGGGACACACAGTGCCTAGGATTAAACCAGGACCTCTGGCATAAAAAGCATCCATAAAAAAGTTCTCTGAACTATCTATCCAGCTCAAATCCAATCAATTCTGTTTGGCACTTTAATTGCTTATCTATTTTAACTATTGTAAACAATACTCATATATATCTGTGTTAATGTTTCTATGGTTTTTAGATATTCAAAGGTGGAATTGCTAAATAGTAAGGTAGCTCTATCTTTATTTTTTTTAGGAAGCTTTGTTTATAGTTTTTCAGAAATGTCTGCCCTAGTGTACATTTTGAAGGAATTTTTATTTTCACATAAATTTGGTGGCAGACCCAAACTTTTATTTTATAGTAGTTAGGAAAATAAAGGAAAAGATATTCTCAGAAATGGACTTGGAATAATTAGGGGAATGATTTGGGAGAGTGAGAGGTATCTGGAATAACTTCTTGTGAACATTGGGATTAAATAAAAATATGTTTGACATATTCTATGTGGCCAATTTATGAGGTATCCAAAGAGTTAATAAGTAGTCATTTCACCCAGACTCCAAATCTTGACTTTATTTTGCTTTCACTTTTACATGCATTTTCATGTCACTAACAAAGTTCTCTACTGAAGAGTCTGCTTCCAGCATACAATAATTTTCTTCCTTAACTGTCTGCCCCTTCCAACTGCTAAAAGGATTAAATCTTAGGAACCACAGCTGTGCAGTGGGTGAAGATTTAATATCAGTTGACTGAAGCTGCCAATAACTTATCCTTGCTAGAACAGAGGTCACTCTAGGAATGTGACTTGAGATCAAAGTGATTAAGTCAATCTCTCTCTTTGTGGAGCTGGAACTGTGAATGTGATTCTGAAAGCCATGGGGAGCCATCCTGCATCTGCCATATGGAACCGGCAGCTGAGACATCTTATACCTTCCAGGAAAAGAAAGAGGCAGACACAGGAAGAAGTCAAGCCATGCCCCAGAGCACTCACAGTTCCTAACAGCCTTCCTTTTTTAAGTTCTACTGCTTCCCCAGTCACATTCCTACTTTTGGATTCTGAGACACTCTCTTTCTTTTATAATCAGTTTTCTTTTCTGGCGTATGCTAGCTTAGGATGCATTTCTTTTATCAAAAAACCAAAAAACTTCTAAGAGAGTGATAACAAAAGACATTTACTGAAGTCTCATGATCCTTGACTTTGGGACATGCTTTCTCAACACGTTGTTGTTCCATTTCTACCTTTACTCAATATTAGTGTTTTTTTTTCTTTTTCTTTTTGGGTCACACCTGGCGATGCACAGGGTTTACTTCTGGCTCATGCACTTAGGAATTACTCCTGACAGTGCTCGGGGGGACCATATGGAATGCTGTGAATCGAACCTGGGTCGACCACATGCTAGGCAAATGCCCTACCCGCTGTACTATCACTCCAGCCCCTCAATATTAGTGTTAAGTTTATTGTTGCTTCACATCTCTTAGCATCATTGCCTCTACATCCCATTTCTGTCTCTTTTCTCAAATCTCTTCCTAGCTTCCTTTGCTCTGTCCATGAAAGCAATGCTAACAATAAAATAAATGTAGAGGGTTTGGATGTGTAAATTACACAAGCCTGGGATTTAGGAAGACATGACAGGTTTATTAAATTACGAATCTCAGAAATTAGCAGATTCAATGCTAGACTTGACTTCTTTTGGCATGGCTCCTCTTCAGTCAGGTGAATGTAAAGGCACAGGAGGGAGAAAGCTTGTTTAAGCAACCTGGGCAGCTCCAGTGCCAGCTGTGAGGCTTTTTACTCTCCCTGTTTCCCGAGGCTTCAGCTGCAATAGGCTCAACCAGATGTACACAGTCACTGATGCCCATTATAGCTTAAAGAGGTCACTAAATCTGGAAAATGAAAAATAGGAGTCTTCAGAGAGAAGTTCCTTCGTGAGAAAAGATCACACACAGGGGAGAAAAAGGTGGAGAAACCTTGAAGGGACTCCTAAAAGCAGATAACCAAACCCTGGACCAGCTAGCTGACAACTGTGTCAACACAGTCACAGTTTCATCTAACAGCTAAACTAAAAATAATCTGACACTTCACCAAGGCATGCTTGCCTGACTTTGCTGTGCAGAGCAAATGCTGAAGTACAAGCTGCTGTAGGATTTCTAACAACTTCAGGTCTAATGATGTCAGGAGAAATTCAGAGACTTGAAAGTGAAGATCACTTAGGAAAGCAACCACTTTATGTTGTTTGCTAAGTGGATGTTTGTTGTTGTTTTTCACAGCAGAAGTATCTAAAGAGGATTCAGAGTTTGGAGTTGGAATCTTTCTGATGACATTTGGTAATTATATTTTTAGGGGTATCTTTTATGCATGGATGATAGTTCATATCTTTTTGTAAAAGATAGACGAGTCTATCTTGAGGGCAAGAATCATATATTTCTTTCTTTCTCCCTCCCTATCTGTAGGACTTAACAAGACTTTGCAATTCAGAAATTCTTAATAAGCTATTTATTGTATTAGATACATGACTAATAAGATAATGGAAAAACAGCCTCGATACCAACCTTATCAGAAGATTGGGAAAGCTTTCTACAAGAAATAATTATTAGCTGAAGCCTTTCAGGACTCATTGAGGTTGAAAGTAGGGAGTTACAGAGAAGCACATTTGGCATGTCTATCAAGGAAATTTAAAACTATTTCTATATGGCACATGGCTGAAAGGGAAATAATTTTTAAAATGGACAGGGGTCCGAAGTATTTTGCAGACTTTACTAGAGAAGTTGCATTTTACTTTTTATAATAGAGATCATGAAAATATTTCTGGTTAGGGATGAAGTAATAGTACAGCAGGTGTTTGTCTTGCACACAGCCAGGCTGGTTTTGATCCCTAGCATCCCATAATAGTCAAACAAGTACCCAGGAGTAATTCCTGAGTGCAGAGCCAGGAGTAATCCCTGAGCATTGGTGGTTGTGACCCCAAAACCAAGCAAAAAAGAAAGAAGAAAGAAGAAAGAGAAAGAAAGAGAGAGAGAAAGGAAGGAGGGAAGGAAGGAAGGAAGGAAGGAAGGAAGGAAGGAAGGAAGGAAGGAAGGGAGAAAAAGAGAAAGAGAGAAAGAGAAAGAAAGAGAGAAAGAGATAAAAGATTTTCAGTCAGTAAGAAATAAGAAATTTTCTTACAGAAATTTTGATTTGACAGCAATGTGGATGGTAATTGATGCGAGGGATACAGATGATTTGGGATTTTAGAGATCAGTCAAAAGCCTCTAATAATGCAGTGATTTGGGTGAGAAATGACGAAGGTTTGACTTTGGCATGAAAAGATCTACTTCTACCTGCCTCCTCCCATGGCCATATTTGAATTGCTACTAACACCATCACATCCTCCTCCAGAATCCAGGTCTGGGGGTGTTGAGCTGTAACAGAAAATACCAACCACCATAGCTTTCACTAACACTTTTACTTGATTGTGAGCATGACAAAGATTGGTGGTATTTTCCAGAAGTTCCCTGGGCAAAACCTTCCTCCCTGTTTCTACCAAAAAGAAAGCACAGAACAATTTTTATAATTCCACAGTCACTTCTCTCAGCAACTATCATATGTACCTGCTACAGGAAAGTATTTTATGCAAAAGAATAAGCAGGAAGAGGCAAGGGGAAAGGAGGAGAAGAAAAAAATGGTAAAGGAGAAAGGGAAATGATGAGACCTCATTCACCATTAAAGAAGAATGAAACCCATAGAAAGAACTGAAGAGGTTTACATCATAGGGTCTGCAACTTGTACTCAAGTTTTGCAAAAAGAGATTTACAATAGATGGGAAAATGTTCTTAGATATTTGCTAAGCTTCTTTGAAGAAGATGAGCTCTCCTTTCACTCTTTAGCACTTACCTACCTAATGAAAGAAAGAAACCCTTTCTCTTAGGACTGTGATTATCAAACTTGGTTATACAAGAATATGAACTGATAATTAAATACACAAACATGCCTGAATTGTACCCAACAAATTTGGAAGGCATTTGGAAGAATGTTCCATTTATTTTAGTAGTAAGAGATATGTTTTGACATGTTAATAAAATTATTTTGCTCTTCTGTGGGAAATAAAATTTTAATATTCACATGACCTCCAATACAGTAGCTGTGTGCTGGTAATGATGCTGCGTAGTCCTCCTATGCCATTAAAACCTGCCAGTTAAGGTCTGGATCTTTTGTTAGTCTGAATCTTTGTGTAGTCTGGGGTAGGCTCAAGTTAAGGAACAGCTTTTTTGTCAGGTGTGGGGAGCGAGAGAAAGAAAGAAGCAGATGATTAACTTTCATGTGATCTTTATGCTGTGTGACTTCTTTGGGAGTGATCTTTGTTATTTGAAGGAAAATATGCAATAAAGGATAAAGAGAGGAAAAAGTCTCTAATGGGATATAAGAGAATTGGCTGTGAAAGAGAGAAAATTGGAATTTAAATTAGGACAAAAGATTTAAAATCCAAAGGAGAGGGTATTTATAAGGTCAGAGAAGTCACTTGTGGTCTGATTTGTTTGATGTACCCTCTAATTTTCTTGGCCACAATTTAGTCTGAGTATATGTCTTATTTTGCTTTTCTGTGGTTATTATTCTTTTATAAACTCTGCATGGAGGTCAAATTTTAGTTTATAGTATTACTTTATGTTGAAGGAACCTAAAGAGGGCAGAGACATTAGGAAAAAAAGACTTTGACCTAATCATTAAGCTTCTCTTTCATCTCCACTGACATCATCACTGTCCATGCAAGGGTAGTAAAATGACAGGTGGCTGTAAATGCTCTTCTGTAGAAGAAACAAGGGACAATCAAGGTTAGGAGAACTGTATGATTGATGTTGTCCTCACCTTTATCCTATCAATGTTAGCTTCCATCTTCAGTTGTTCTACCAGTTTTCTTGCTTGAGCTATGCTGGCGGTGTTGTTGCTGGCCATTGGAGAGCTGCGAGAGTCTTTTAAGCACACTAAGAGAGAAAACAAAGAGGAAGAGGGCATAAGAGAGTTCAGGAGCCACCAAATGTGCATGCTTACAATAAATGAGAGATCTTAAAAGAGTGGCTATATTTAGACCTTGCTCCCCCACCATCTACACAACCACAATCCAGCACTGCCTTTAATTGCATCTAAACCATAAGATATGGTTTTCTTTCCCTCCTATACTTTGTCTCCTATACTTCACATCGGGACCAATGGCCTAGAATGGAACGAACAGGGTGAGAGACTGTCTGAGTTCATCATGTCGACCAAGACCATCCATGGTAACTCACAGTTCCAGAAGGCAGAATCTAAACGTTGGACATGGGAGTCTCCCGGTGGACGATTCCACAATGAAATAGACCACATCATATTCAATCGACGGTTTTGCCTGACTGATGTCGCTTGTTGTCCCAAAATTTCAAACGGGATCGGACCACTGTCTCCTTCGTGCAAAATTCTACTTCACAGAGCGGGGAGAAAGGGCTGCAAAGTTCAAAAAGAGAACTCCTAGAACGACCACCAACTGGGAACTCTTTGGCACTATTGCAGCAACATGGGAAGATGCCATTGTTGACAACATTGACGAGGAATACGATCGACTGGTTCAGCACCTCCATGAATGTGCGAGGAACGCCAAGAGAGAGATAGCCACAAAAAAATGCCTGTCTTAGAAAACTCTTGAGCTAATTCGCCAGCGTGGTTTGGTGCATGCCTCAGGCAACCGCAAGCTAACGTCCGAGCTCGCAAAGCAGTGCAGAGATGCGATCAAGGAAGACCTCAAAGAGAGAAGAGCAGATGTACTGGTAGATGTGGCAGAAGCTGGGAAAAGTATTCGTTACGCCCGCCTGTCCTTCGCCAACTACAAGACTAAGATGACTGCCCTCCAACGTCCTGATGGATCCATCACATCCTCCAGAATGGCAATGGAGAAGATTATCCATGACTTCTACTCAAATCTCTTCGATAGCCATGTCCACTTGCCGACATACCAAATTCCACAGGATGGATATGTCGTTCCCAATGTTCTCCCTTCTGAAATCCAACACGCCATTTCATCGGTAAAGAAACAAACAGCACCCGGCCCAGACAAGGTCAGACCTGAACACCTGAAGAACCTGCCGTCAGTACTCATCAATACACTGGCTCGGCTCTTCACTCGCTACCTGTCTGAATGCAAGGTTCCGTCCCAGTGGAAAACCAGCAGGACCGTACTACTGTTCCAGAAGGGAAACATCCATGACATTGGCAACTATCGCCCGGTCTGCCTATTGTCTGTCATCTACAAGTTGTTCACTCGAGTCATCCTAAATAGGATTGGCAGAACACTAGATGAAGGACAACCATGCGAGCAAGCTGGGTTCCGCAAAGGATTCAGCACCATCGACCATATCCACACGATAACCAAACTCACTGAGGTTTCTTGGGAGTTCAAGATGCCGCTCTGTTTAACGTTCATTGATTTAAAGAAGGCCTTTGATTCTGTTGAGACAGAAGTGGTCATTGAAGCCCTAGCCAATCAGGGCAATCAAGCCCAATACACCAAGATCCTCCATGAGCTGTATTGCGGATTCACTACCAGGATCTCACCATTCTACAAAGAAGTAATCATCCATATCAAGAGAGGGGTTCGGCAGGGTGATACCATTTCACCAAAACTCTTCAGTGCCACCCTCGAGAACATCATGCGACGACTGGAATGGGAAAACATGGGAGTGAAGATAGATGGTCGGCAACTACACCACCTCCGCTTTGCTGATGACATTATTTTAATAACACCAAACATCAGCCAAGCGGCACAAATGCTGGCCGACTTTGACTGTGAGTGTGGAAAGGTAGGACTACAGCTGAATCTTACGAAGACAATGTTTATGAGAAACAGCCTCGTTCCTGATGCCCCATTCGCTCTCAACGGAACGACCATCTCCGAATGCAACAGCTATGTGTACCTAGGTCGAGAGGTCAACATGACAAATGACCTGGCACCCGAGCTGCGCAGGAGGAAGAGAGCAGCTTGGAACGCCTTCAAGAACCTCGAAGAAATAGCTAAGAGGAGGAAGAACCTCCGGCTCCAGGCACATCTCTTTGATTCCACTGTTCTTCCTGCATTAACATATGCCTCAGAGACCTGGGCCCTATGCAAACAGGATGAGAACGCTATTCAGGTCTCCCAAAGAAGAATAGAAAGAGCTATGCTTGGAATATCACGTTTCACTCAAATGAGAGAAAAAATTCGGAGTTCCGACATCCGTTGACGATCAAGAATCAGGGACACTGTCTCATTTGCCAAGGTGTCAAAAATCAGATGGGCTGGTCACGTAATGAGATTTAAAGATGACCGCTGAACTAGAGCTGTTACTGACTGGATTCCACGGGATGTCCAAAGACCGCGTGGCCACCCACCTACCAGATGGTCAGACTTCTTCATCAAGATCATGAAAGATCGGTTTGAGGCTCTTCATGTTCCCAGAGCGAACAGATGCCATTGGGCTACACTAGCACGCGACAGGGACAAATGGAGACGTTACTGGCGCCCGCTCGAGCAAATCGATGACTAACGGGAAGTTAAGTGATTATGTGATGGTTTTCTTTTCCTCTTATACTTTGTCTTTGGGGATGGGGTCAAAAAGAGAGGTAATGAAGTCTATTCTTCAAACCTGTTAGAATAAGATATGCTCCTACACTAGGAAAGCAAGTTATTAAAGTTATCTTGATTTATGGATTCCAAATGGTGAGGGTAGTATGTACATTATAACTATGTTTTATTGAGTATTTTACTATTGCTGACACTATATAAAGTGCACTTAGGGAATAAGGAGTCAGAGGTGAGTAAAGAGATGATAACTGATATAATGCTCAGGAGTGAAGACACTAAGTTTACTGATTACTCTTGATGGGTTGAAACAATAACACTTTAGTGAAAATCTAATACCTTGGCTTATTGTACTGCAAAGACATCAAGATGGATGGAGATATTCAGCGTTATGAATCTATTATTGTTTTAAATGGTCACTTCATTCTGTTTGACATATAGCTGGAATCACAATTATCCACTCTGCTCACAATTCATCAGGAACACATTTATATTGTCAAAGTGAAGTACTTCCATGTCTAAACTGCTATTTGCATCAATGAGTTCACTAGCACTGTTTTGGTATCAAACCTTATTACTCGTAAATAGGAAAGTGGGACATAAGTAAGTATTTAGAGTGGAGTCCTATCTTTCCTGGATGCTGAGGTTTCTTCACCTCTGGCTTTCCCAGGTTTCTTCTTGTTTGTCCCTTTACCCCCTTCAATTGCTATCCCAATTGCATTTCTATGTTTTCTTTTTGAGACACCATCTCACCTTATTCTTGTTTTTTTTTTATTTCAGAAAATATCCTACTTATTATTGGTGCCCCTATTCTCCATATATTTTTCCTTTTTTAAAAATTAAATCTCACTCCCTGTTACACTGCCATATGCACATGATGGTATTCCTGATGATATTTCAGGAATCTCAGTAAACATCTAGTATTGAAGTCATCTAATATTGAAGCACTGTTTGAGAGCTTTAACTTGGGAGGGTGCATAACCCAAGAAATGAGGAACACCAAAATATCGCTTTAGTCACACTGGTTGAATCTTTTTATCTAAAGATGAAGGAGGTTTAGATTAACATCTCAAAAAGGAAAGAGGCACATAGAGCCACTGGGAAGGAAGAATAACCCATTATAACTTCTAAACATAGATTCTTACTTATCTACTAAAGATAAAAAATTGTTTTTATTACCAAAAAAGAAAAGCAAAAGAGATCATTTATAATCTTTTCTTTTTTCTTGACATTGAGCTATTCAAGACAAAACAAGAAATTATGTATAATTCTCTGCAAACAAAGAAGCCTCTTTATAGACAGTATTACTTTATAAAGAAAACTGCAAAATAAGATACTCTAAAAGAAGTTACAATATAAAGTGGAAGATAATTAACTGCTCCTGCAACTTATTTCCAAAGGGTTTAGAGACAATAAAATGGGATGGAAGACTGAAGAAATTTTGAAGTCACAAATATCTCCAAACTATACTTTAATATGCCTTTAATATGATTAAGGCAGAAAGAATTGCATCTAAAAGCAAAAAATAATCTTCTGGAGTAGTTGAACTATTCAATTCATCTAAAGTTAGAAGTAGTCACAATCTATAAGCTGGTGGACAAGGTTCTCTGAAGTTACTTTTTCTGTCAATCTATACTTTATCACACTAGAATTCAGATTATTGTAGAATTGCCAAATCCTCATAGGTTTCTTAAGGAGCTTTGGGGTTCAGGCCAGCTATTTTTCTGCCCTTGAATTTAAACCAGACCACACAGTAACCTGTGGAGAGACATAGCTTGCCTTCAAATATTTCTTCTTTTCTTCATTACTAATAATCAATCACTATTTTCATTAATCAAAAAATTATTATTTTTACTTTTTTATTTCTAACAGAGACTTCAAGAACCCAGAATTTTAGTTGATATATAATACATATATATATATGTATATATATATATATATATAGAGAGAGAGAGAGAGAGAGAGAAAGAGAGAGAGAGAGGGTGTATGTGTGGTGCTAGGGATAGAATCCAGGACCTCGCATATACAAGGCATGCACTCCACTACTGAGTAATACTCCTTTTGGAGGCTAATTTTGCTGAAGATATATGCCCCAGCCTCCACTGAATCTAGGTCTAATTATATGACTAAGTTTTGGGATATAGAGATAAAAGTAAAAATATTCTTGTACACTTTGCCATTCCTTCCGTTTGCTACTACATTAAAGGTAAAGGTAAAGGTAAAGGCCCTCCTGTTGATCGTCGATTTGCTCGAGCGGGCCCAGTAATGTCTCCATTGGAGACTTTGTTGTTACTGTGTCTGGCATATCGAATACTCTCGGTAGCTTGCCGGGCTCTCCGAGAGGGGCGGAGGAATCGAACTCGGGTCGGCCATGTTGGCTGCGTGCAAGGCAGACGC